GCTGGAGGCACAGGCCCATCAAGCTCTGAGCAGCAATCCTTCGGACTTCCCACCTCCTTGTAGTTGCCTTGTGCTCCTGAGAACCCTCCCACCCCCCACCCTGGGGTGGGGGGGAAGCTCGTCTAGGCAAAACCCCATTGTGCCTGCCCCCTCCGCCCCACCCCACACTGCAGGCCTGGCTCCCAACACCTCTGCGCTCACCGCCCAGGTTGTGGTGCTGATGTGGGGCTGCACTGCGGCGAGCCTGGGCCCCTGAGCACCTTGGCAGGGACGGTCCTGCTCGGCTGGTGGCCCGGGCTGGCGGCTCCTGCGGGCTGTAGGGTTGCCAGCTCAGCAGGTGGCCTTTCTTAGCCAGGAGCAAAACAATGTTCCTTAAACGCAGTCTGTGCGGTGGGCCTGTTGTACATCAATTCGGAGGACATGCTCATGGCTGTATCACAAAGTCCCATCTCGACACCAGGAGGACAGCGGAGGTGGTGGCCTAGGCCATGGCCCACTCCTGGTGCCACTGGCTGCCCATGCCCACCCAGGCTCCCGCATACGCCCTGCACCCACCCAGCCGGGTCCTGAGCATTTAAAACCTCATGCGAGAATCGAGGCCTTGGGAAAGGACTCAAAATAAAAAGACTTTATAAGAGGGGGAACAACTTGAAAACAATGGACAGAAACTGGGCAGGGGACGTGCGCACCCACACCTGTGGCGGCCCCGCCGCAGCGGTGCATCTGAATAACTTAAACTCTCAGCAAGCACTGTTACTATCGCTCCGAAGCAGAGGTATCATAAGGGCGACTTGTGAGGGGTTATGGGAAACGTCCTTTCCTTTAGGTCATGCTGGCGACGGGACTGTGGTTGGGGGCTGCCAGCCTGCAGCACACCTGCTGCCCGGGCCTTCCACCTCGCAGCCCTGGCTCCTGTCACAGGCACAGCCTCACAGCCTGATTCTAGAATGAGCAACACACTCACTACGTACTTGCCCGGAGACAGGAGCCCTTGCTGGGGACCTTACATCCTTCCTCCCTGACGCAGGGCTGGGCCCTGGGCTCCCATGACGTCCCACATCCCACACACAGTAGCTCAAGGGCAAAGTAGAATCTGTGGCATTTGGAGAACAGCACATCCCGACCCGTACCCACTGGACTGACTTCTGTGCTCCAAGAGCTCAGGGAATGTTGTTTCCTCTCTGATGCTTTCTCACATTCAACTAGGTGCTCCTTCCTTCACGTGAGGCCTAGTTTTTGTTCTATTAAGAAACTGATCTCAAGGCCAAAGGCAAGCCTGCTCTTTCTTCTCAACTCTGAATGGCTCACAAGAGGGTTTCTGCAGAGGGGACTTGGGTTGCTCCCTCTGGAGAGGATGGAGCCCTCTGAATGCTCCATGAAGACCTGTCCTCAGAGGCAGGGAGAGACTGACCCAGTGATGCTCGTGGCCTCAAGCCAATCCTCCACCAGCCCCAGTGAGGAGCAGAAAAGGGACCAGGAGGTCCCCACGGAACCCTTTGGGGTCAGGCTGCCTGGGGCAAGGTGGAACCCCCACCTTCCAGCCATGGCGACACCTCTGCCCTGAACTATTCTCTCCTACTTTGAGAATCACAGAATACTCATTTTATCAACCCAGAAAGCCTTTCTCATCTTCTCAACTTGGCCCGGTTCTTAAAGAAAAAGACAAACAGCAGCCCTCAAACATGAACCCACCCGACGGAGAGCAGAAAGTTGACAGGCGCGACAGTGGGCACACGGACCCTGTTCCCCGGCACTGGCCTCGTGCTGCGCTGCGCGGTGGACCCAGTGATCGGTCCTGTTGTCCTCAGAGCATGGGGCAAGGCTGTGTGCCAAGACAATGGGCTGTTCTGGGACACATCAAACCTCACCATGGGATGCAAGCTCCACAATCTGTAAGAATTTACCAAGAAAGTGGAAAAAGGACAGTGTGTTTGATTCCTAGCAGCGCTGTACTGGCCTGTCCTCAGCAGACGCTGGCGTGTATCACCTCGGAGGGCGTCAGTGTGGAACAAAGATGTGGACAGCTTGTGAGATCCACCCTGGGTGCCAGGAGCTGTATCCCACACTGCTGCACCCACTGGGCCCTGGGACACTGGAGGTGAGCTCTGGTTACCAACCCTCTGCCTCCCAAACCCAGACCAGACTGTCTTGGTGGAAAACGCTCAACTACTGAAAAGTAATTACTTTTGTGACTTCCTTCCTACCTAGGGAGGGTGTTTTCCTGTACCTGGTGCTGCTAAACATGGTGACAGGTAAGCAGGAGAGAGAGAAGAGGTACCTGGGAGCCAGGTGGAGAGGGCCTGCATACCCTGGGTCACAGCACAGGAGGAGGTGAGCCCCTCTCAAAGCCGCACACTTGGGCCTGGCTGACCTCTTCACACACATGAGCCCCTGGGTGATCAAAGAGAAGGTTCTCGGGCCCCTGGGGCCACGGTGACACCAGCATTGTGCCAGAGTGGACGTATTTCCACTTGTTCTAATCTCGGCGGGGGTTGGCCCACCCTCTATAATCCAGAATCTGAGGGCTGCAATTCTTTGGTCACGGCTGGCCTCTTGGTTCCGGTTTGGAGGAGACCATCCCTTGGCCAGCTCTGGGGCACAGCCCTTTCTGCTGTGAGGTGCATCTCCCTGAGGCATGGGCCACCCTGGGCCTTTGGCTACCAGTCCCAGGACAAGTGGTGGCATAAACCGGGCCTGCTATCTGGTCAGATGACCCTGGCCCCATCCAGAAGCGCGCTGTGAACCCAGGGTGGCCATTCCCGCAAGGCCCAGCCCCTCTCCACCCCCCCGCCCTGTACCCTGCCTGAGCTGATCCCACAGGGTCCCCTTCTTGGTCCCAGCAGGAGCTAACAAGGCACGAGCTCTCCATGGGGCAGAGTACCACCAGCCGACATCCTGACCTCCCTGTACCCGCTTCTCCTGGAACCACCGCCCGAATAGAAAGCAGGACCATCACCAAAAACGAGCAGAAACCAAAACACCTCAAAGTTGGGAGAGCAAAGGGTCAGTGCCAGACTGACCCAATCAGGTGAGGCCCTGACACGTTTCTGGCAGCCAACTGTCCTGTGTTCTCTGCAGAGGGCGCCAGCTTTCCTATGGAGACAAACCCTGGGCACCGCCCCTCCGAAAGGACCCTGTAAACGATGACGGTGGGAGGGAAAAAGCAACAGGCCCTAGGGTCAGACCCTCAAAGGTGAGGCCCTCGGCAAGGAGCCAAAAAACCTCTGTGCGTGCCACTGCGTCCGCCCAGCCACTCGCCCTCTCACGCACACAGCAGCTGATGCAAAGGATAGAGTTGATAGAACAGAAAACACTGACGTAGAACAGAGTGAGATTTCTCATCCCCAAGGACGGCCAACGTCACTGAAGGCAACAGGTACGGACTTCATAGAAGAGCTCTTTTCCCACTTAAAGTTGGGTGCCATAGAAACGACTGGTTTGGGGCTTGAGGAACACCGGTACAGGCCTTGCCCTGGGCTGGGCAGGAGGCCACTCTGCACTTGTCCCCAGCAATGGACACCCTGACGACTGTGGCAGCAAGACTCGTCTGGTCACACCCACCCTGGCCTCCGATGAGCTCTGCTGTCGCCGGGGCAAGTTTGCATCAGCCAATCCTGCCCAAACGGCCTCGAAATTGTGTTCCACAGTTTCCCTTTCGTTCTGAGCCAGTACCTGACCTGATCATTGAGGCCCACTCCTCCTCTTGGGAGCTTTAAGGGGGCTGCACTTTTTCAGGTGCTGACATCAGGGCACAGTGGGGGGCAGGCAGCTTGGTCGGTGGGAGACTAATGCTGAGGACAGGCTACTTTCAGGAAGAAAAACCATCCCTGCTGGACTTCTGTGCAGGGCCTGTGGCTGCCATTTCAGGCAGTGTCCATTGCCAGAAAAATTGATGCCAGATGCCAGCGTGGCAGCCAAATTTAAAGTCACTTTTCACAGACGTGCTTAACATTTCCTGAGAATGTTCTCCAAGAGGAGCTGAAGAACTATGATCCCAAACTGGGCTAATAATCAGGCAGTGTGGGCTCACCTCCTCTGCTGACAGCTCCAGCAGCATGGGGCATCTACAAGTGCAGGGGTCCTTCCCTGGGGAAGCTGGTGTCACTCGCTGGGTCATGTGGCCAGGTTGCAGGGAAGACCAATGGAGTCATCAGGAGCCGAACGCAGGGGTGGCGCGGCCACTGCTTACCAGAGGACTGGTGCTGCAGGAGCAGGAGACGATGTGACTTACAGCAGGAGGTATGTGTTGGGCAGTAAAGCAAGTGTGACTTGGTGACAACGGTGGTGGGAGAGGCCTACGCCACTGCTGCGCATCCCACGGCATTCAGGCACCGGGGTCTCAGGCCTGCAGAGGACGCCGGGCTTGCCGATTCCTGGTTTTGGAGCCTCTGGACCAGGGACTGCCGCTCCTCACCCAGACGACTTTCTGCCCTGAACACCAATCCAGGTGGCCGTCAATCTTTCTTGAAGTTAGCAGACAGAGCGGCAGCACCAGCTCTTCACGGGATTAATGCCAGTAAGCAGCCCAGACATACAGCTGGTAAACTGCCCATAGGTGCTGACCTCACAAATACACATTGCCTTCTGTGTTTCCATCTCAGGTTTATGATTAAGCCTCAATTTGTTTCAACAAAACAAGAAGTAATTGGGGTCCAAAGCCAAACCAGAGCTCCCTCTCCCCCGATTAATGCCGAGACTTCTATGTCACTATTTTAGGGCGAAAACCCCACAAGACAGTCTGAGCTTTGGCAGTTCCTGCCTCTCTCCTGCCTCCTCCCGCTCTGCTGCAGACAGGACTCATGCCCGCTGCCGGCCCTCCCATGCACAGCCTCTGTGCCTTGCCGCGGCTCCGTCTGTCCTCTGGGGGGAGGCGGGGGGTGAAGGCTGCTCCGGAAGCCTTGCCTCTGCTCATGGCCGGGTTGGCCTGTGATCCAGCGCTGGACCACAGGCCTGGGAGAGAAAACGGTGTAAGGGAGAAGGAAAATAAAAACAAGCATTCCTGAATCATACAATCAGCTGTCTGAACTTGTTTATGTGTTTTGTTTTAAACCACAGCAGGGGCAGGAGACAGAACAAGGAGGACGAGTGTGTCCGGGTGCAGGCAGGTGGAGGCCGTCCTGTCCGCTTGGCACGTGCGCAGGTCAGCATGGAGCCTCCTCGTTGCGGTCCCCAGGTGGCAGGAGGCCAGCGGTCAGGGCCTGGCTCCAGAATCCCTTTTGGCGAGCATCCCACTCGGCCCACTCGCAGGCGACTTCACTCCCCGGTTCCCGGTCCCTGCGGGCCGGCAGCTGCAATCACCCCGGCCTGCGCCGTCACAGTCCCACTGGGCTCCTCCACACGCGACCTTTTGACCTCGGGCTCCCCGGTGGAAGAGGCAGAGGTGGCAGCTGTGGCTGGGGTTGCTGGGGTGGCGGCTGCCGCTGCCGGCTCCTCAGGCCCCACCTCGCACACCCGTGTGACCACCACTGGCGTGGATGAACTAGCCTGGGCCGCCAGGAGCTGCAAGGGGCTCGTGAGGGCTAGGAGTGGAGGAAAAAGAGATTTGCATTGGGAATGGGTGAGGACCAGCACTGGCGTGTCCTGAGCACACGCAGAGGTGCTGCACCAGGGCCACGTAAACTACACAGGACCCTGGCTCCCAGCATGCCATGCCCCCGCCCCCCTCCGGCTCCCACTGCAGCCCTGCTTCTTGTACCACACCCTCCCTGCTCTGACCCTGCTACCGCCTGAGGGATCTCCCCCTGCTGCTGCTGCATTTGCATCCCTGCAGCTGGGGGTGGGTGGGGGGTGGCTCTCACCCTTACCTCTAGCAGGTTTAACCCAGGCAGCCTGCTCTGAACTATCTTATGCAAACTGAATGCCCTCTGCCACCCTTCCTGCAGCTGCACCCCTGCCCACCTCTGACCTCTCATCTGACCCAGCAGGGTGTGAGCTCTGGGACATGGGATCTGCCTCTGCTGCAGGGCTTGTGCCTTGGGCTGAGCACAGTGCTCATGTGGTGCAGATGCTCAACAGGCCCACCGCAGCGGGGGTGTAGGGGGGTCACAGATAGAGGGGACATGTGTTCTTGTGCTGCAAGTACCACGGGCAGAATGGCAGGGCTGAGCTGAGCGGGTGTGGGCAGGGCCTCACCGTACGTGCTGCCAGCTAAACTGTTCGTGGGGACCGCATGCTTCCCGTTTTGAGTGACGGCCCGGACAGGGAGGTGGTGCTGCCCAATGGTCACTGGTGTGGCCGGCTGCAGAATGGTGACCGTATGTCCAGGGACCCCTGGGGCCATCTGGCTGGCCACGGTCTGGATGACGCGGCTGGCGGCAGGGATGGTGGCGAACGCGATGGTGGGCTTCTCTTCCAGGCCTACGGGGAGAAGTATATCAGAACCCCGTCCGCTTGACGTGGCCTGGAAGTCGGCTTATGGGGGAAAGGTTCTCAAGCATTTGACGCCAAAGAAAAAACACTGCTCTCAAAAGAAAAATCCCACTAAAGAAATATATTTGAAACAAAAGACAATCAGTAGGGCTAAAGAGAAACATTTAAATACTTTGAACTTTAACCAACCCAAAGTTAATCAGAGAAAGAAAAAAAAAAAGAAAAAAAAAAGAAAAAAAAATCAGAGAAAGAAAATGTTATTCAGGAAAAAAAAGATTTGTACTTGGAACCACAGTCTTTCTCTGAAATCCTTCATTGTTGTGACGTTAATGGGCTGCTGTAACGGGGTCAGTGGATGGAGGCCCACAAGCCCAGGAGACTGTGTTCAGCTCAAGGGCTTCCACTTGGCTTTTGCCATTCTGGCTGCATTTTCAATACTGACCCTGTGACCCCTTGGGCTCAAGATGCCTAACGTAGGAATCTGTGGCTACTTTTTACTTTTTTACATGATTTCTTAGGACTTCCACTGGGGGCTCCAGAGCAATCACTCTCTGGACTGCAATGATAAGTCCACTACCCAGTGCTGTTACCTCGAGGGCTATGCGTACCTGCAGGTGCCACCACCCAAGGAAGTTGCGTGTCAGAGGGCAATTGGCATGGATTTAAAAGGACATATGCCCCAAAAAGCAAGAAGCAGGAAGGAGAGGCAGTAGTCTGAGAACCACTGGTCCCCAGAGATAGTCTGTGGCCCCAGCACGGGCTCTGTAGCCCCATGGTCCAGGCTGCAGGGCTAGGTTCCAGAGACCAAGGATGGCCTTACCCATCCCAGCCCAGTGCACGCATGAGCATGTTACCTCTGGCCTCACTGCCCAGGTCCAGCACAGCTGTGCCCGCTGCTTCATGGGCAGCCCCTGCTGAGGCCTGGCTGGCGAGGATGTACCCATTGGCAGAGTTGGCAGAGGTGGTGACCACCCTGAGCATGGTGACAGGGGGAGCCTGCTGCACGACATGGATGGCGTGGCCTGCTGGCTGCTGTGCTGTCACTATGGATGCTGGCATGTAGGCCACGGGCTTCGCCACCAAGCTGGGCGGTCGAGGAGGCACAGCCATGATCACCGGTTGGGCACTGACCGGAGAGCCTGTGTGAAGAAGGAGCATGACCACTGAGGCCTGTGGACCCCTGAGGCTCCATCTTGCCACACCGGATAAAGGGACAAGACCATTCTTACCAGGTGCACTTTGGGAATACCGATACTCTGGAACAGAAGCTAACTTTGACCCAAAGTCAGGGTCGTGTGGAATGGGTGAGCCCTCTCGAGACAGGCACTCTGGGGTCTGCAGGCCACTAGAACGAGGGGACATTAGCCCAGGGTGAGTGGGTGAAGCTGGAGCACTCCTGAGAAAAAAAGAAGAGAAAGGACCGTCGAAGTAAGTAAAGGAGGTAAGAAACTAAAGTGTCTAACAAAACACAAACATTGTAACATCTATCTTACATGGCGCCTCTGTCAGCCTTTCCTGATGCTTCTGTCCTCACGAGGCATTTCCAACACTAGCGTAATGTTCCATGGTGACAATGAGCTACCCGATAAACAGAACAGCAGCGAGGCACCGAAAGCCCCAGTAAGTGGGAGGACACTGCATTATTTGTGGTTTCCCAGCAAAAGCCACAACCCCAAGCATTTACTTCCTGAAGGGGACCAGCCAGTCTTCCACAAAATGGGCTCGGTGTTGCATTAAAAACATAGGCTTTGGGCACACAGCTCTTCATCTCCCACTGTCACTGTCTGCCTAGGTTCTCAACCAGAGCACTGTCATCCAGCTCATGCAGTGAAGGCAGGCCTGCAACCGGATGCACAGCAGGGGACTCACAGTCCCTTGAACAGAACCCTGGGGTCAACACAAATCTGCAGAGGTGGGACGCTGGGGCTGCCTGGAGAGAGCAGTCCTCACACTCTGCATTTATCAGCACCATGAACACCCCCGGTGAATGGTGCTGTCTGCCTCCCCAGACACAGAGGTGCTTGAGGGCACCCTGGTCTCCTCGGGCACAGACCTGGCTGCCCACCCCCACTCCCTGCCACCCAAGCCTTCCTACTGCTTCTCCCACCTCTTGGCTGGCTCATCTGCCTCCCACCCAGACCTGCAGTCTGTGTGCTTATGCCCACACTCAAACTGGTCATGCTTGGGTCCGTCCCAGCCCCCAAGCCTGTGATGGCTTTCCTTCTGACCACAGGAGCCCAAATTCCTGGCAGGCCCTCTTTAACTCTGTACCAAATCTACCCTGCGTCTTACCTGCCTCCCATCCAACACAAACACACCCCCTGTCTCTCTCCTAAAAAATCTAGGTTCTGCAGCCATGAGAGTCTCTCCCTCTCCTTGATACACAGCTCACACCCACACCCTGCTGGGCCTTCTTCCTGGCCCAAGGTTTTCCTGCCTGCCACTATGCAGGTTCATCAAATCGTGTCCCTAATTCTCAAGTGACCGTGAAGTCAGGCCCACCTTGTCATCCTCCAGAGACACCCCTTATTAGGGTTCCCCGGGCATTACTGTGCGCACAAAGCCAGTCCCATTAACTATGCCCCCAGCTGGACAATAGGCTGGTCTACAAGTGAAAAGTAGTGCCAGTCACTGTTAAGGGGTTGAACTGTGTACCCAGAAACCACCAATGCTTCCCAAGGGATCTTGCTTGGAGTTAGGATCTTTACAAAAATAACTGAGTCATATGAAGTCAATAGTATGGTCCCTAACCTAGTGACTGGCATCCTCAAAGGGGCAATCTAGACAATAACGAGCCTGGGGAGATGGCAGGGGAGGATGCAGGCAGGGGTCAGGGTGATGCCTGCATAAGACCAGGGGTGCTGGAGATCACTAGCAAAGCTGCAGAGGCTGGGAGAGGCCTGGAGTAGATGCCCTCATGCCTCCAAGGAACGCACCCTGCTGCCAACTTTGGCTGCAGAAGTGTGAGAGAAGGGTACTGGGCATTCAGGCCACCAAGTCTGTGGTCCTCTGCTACTGCAGCACTAGCAAACTCACAGTTCCTCTAACAAAATCTCTCTCGAATTCCTATTTATTTATTTATTTTTAATTTTTATTTATTTATGATAGTCACAGAGAGAGAGAGAGAGGCACAGAGACATAGGCAGAGGGAGAAGCAGGCTCTATGCACCGGGAGCCCGATGTGGGATTCGATCCTGGGTCTCCAGGATCGCGCCCTGGGCCAAAGGCAGGTGCCAAACCGCTGCGCCACCCAGGGATCCCTCGAATTCCTATTTAAGCAATGGGCCTTTTGGAAATTCTGAGCTCAGCTGGAACGTTCTGAGTTCCTACCTTACCTGTACAACCGTCACCTTTGCTCCAATTTTTAGTTTGGTTACAGAACTGAGAATCATGACAGACCCTGTATCAGACATTTCTGGACATCTGAGCAGTCTTTCGTGGAATCACGTCTGACAAACAATGAAGTGAAAAGCACCAGGTTCCAAGATTTCATTCCAGGGGAAGAATTTCAGAGAGCATCTGTCCTCTCTTCTTCACCCATGCCTTCTCTGGACTGGTGACCTTGGGAAGACCTCTGGGTCATCCACGGGCAGCTTAGCCTGACAGACCGTGCTGGCTACAAGTGCATGGAGCAGGAGAGGCCCTGACCAGAGGGCCGACAAAGGCCACATCCCAACATCAGCTCCATCAATGACAAAGCCTGTTTGAGCTCAACAAGCCCTGTTCTGTGTGTCCCTCAGGATGCAGCATTTCACCAGGCCCAGGGTGGCATTTTACTGGGTCCCTCCAGCCCTCCTGCTAGTGAGCTTGCTTCCAGGGAACCCTGGGAGCTGCAGTCCCCTTCTAACTCCCTCTGGTTTAGGTACTGTTCCCACCACCACCTACGTTTCAGCTTCTGAGAACCAACATGTCAGAGAAGCAGCCAGTGGTGAGTGTACTAACTGTACCATCATAAAGTTCTTTGGTCCTGAGGTGGTCTCGGTGGAAAACACAAAACTGCTCCTGTGAATGTGGACAGTGGGAGAAGACAGGCTCTGCCCAAGGAGCAGAGCAGGGGCTTACCTGGACGACAGAGGCCCAAAGGGGGTGCGGAAGCAGGAGACACCCCTCTGCCTCCGTTTTCGGAATGCCTGTTCCACGAGCTTAGCTTCTGAGGCAGGGTCTATTCGCCAAAAAGACCCCTTCCCAGGCTCCTCCTGGGAACGAGGGACTTTAATAAAGTAACGGTTCAAGGAGAGGTTGTGTCGGATCGAATTCTGTGGGTAAGCAGAGATACTCACCAATTAGTAAGTCAGAAAACCAGCCCCAATCTGAACCCAACAGCCACAAGACTAGAGGTGATGGGGCAGCTGGCGTTCATGCCAGCGAGAGCACTCCACGGGGCCGCTAGGTGCTCGTATTCTACTGGGCAGTGCAAAGGCACAGTGGCCGTGTTTCCTTGTAAAATTCAACACAGCGTTCCTTGTAGACAAAGTGCAATAGAAGGACAAGCTGGAGTCCAGGAGCGTACTGGTTCGAAGCCTGCACTAAGTCAGCTGGCCAGGGGGAAGGAGCAACTTCGAGGAAAACGGTCCCAAACAAGTGTGACACAGCTTTGTTATGTCTTGCATGGCCCATGGCATGATGGGACATGTGGGCTGCTGCTGGAGCACGTGTGTACAGTCCATTTCCAACATAGTGCAGCACTGTAAGGTGGGGTTAGCATGAGGTACATACATACATCCCTCTCCACATCAGAGGGAGAGAAGTCTATGTGGACTCAGGGGGCCATCGCTCATTTTACATGCACCACGGGCCATCAAAAGAGACACCCTCTACCACTTTCTGTTCGTCTCACAGAAAACCACAGCCTGTTGACTCCCTTGTTCCAAGACTATGGACTCATCTGGCTTCTTGGGCCCAAGGCCTCACCTGCCAGCCTTTGTCAGCTGTCCGATAGTAAGGGTAATGCTTGGTGATGTGGGCGTAGATCCCGCTTAGTGTTAGCTGCCTGTCCTGCGCGGACGAGATGGCCTGCACAATCAGCTGAGCGTAGGAGTACGGTGGCTTCGACTCGTCCTGAGAAGAAAGGCAGCATGCCGTTAGCTCCAGAAGGGCTTCCAAGCCACCACCCTCACCTCTACCCCGCGTGTCCTGCTACCAATTGGGACTGGAAAGGCGTGCCCACCAAACCCGGTCCCTGAACCACCACCCACTTCCCTGATGTGCATGCACAAAACTAGGGACAGCCATTCCTGCCCCATGCAAGGAAAAATCAAATTCTCTTCATACTTTAATTCTGAAATTTCTCCCTCTACAGATTGGTTTAACAACAGGTATCACAAAAGAATGAGCTGAGATACAAAGTTGTAAGGAAAACCTTGTCATTCTTCTCAAAGACTAATTAAAACCCTGAAACTGTCCTGTCACCAACAGATGGGATAAAGACAGAATGCTAATGAGGTGCAGAGTGGGAAAGAACAGTGTGCGTGGGGCCTAAGTGTGATGTTGGCAATTGAGCAAATGCTTGCTCTCGGGGTGGGGGGGGATGCGCAGGCAGAGCCAGTGTTCTGCCTCCGAGTGCAGCTCATTTTCAGGCTGGCACCCCAGAAGCCCGCCACCCTCAGTGGAGCAGCCCTGTGTGTGGCTGCTCTGTGCCCCATGCCCGGTCACCACATGGCCATGCGCCGTGAGGCCTGAGACCTTAGGGCTGTCCCCTCCAGACGTGTCTGCCTGCTGCTCTGAGGCGGCCTTTGCTGCAAACTCTGCTGCCAGCTGCAGGTCTGAGGTCACATTCTGAACAAAGCGGTAACCAGATGACCCGGCTCCACGTGGACTGGCCGGGCAGGAGTTGGGAACACTGCAGAGAGAAACAACAGGTCCTAAGTACATGATCCTGAAAAGGAGGAGGACTTGACGTCACAGGATTTCAGGACCTGTCTGGGTGATGCAGGGAGACAGAGAAATTCGACCCCTTTCTTTCTTGTGTTGTCATGACACTGCACCTGGCCTTTGATAAAGGACGGACCAAGTGCAACCAGAAAACAGTCTGGGTCCACGCATGGCAGGTGCGATGTGGGGTATTCTAGCAGCAGTTTCTGCTTGTGGTGGGGAACCATGGGCCCTGAGAGGCAGGTTTACATGGCAGCCACTCAGCAGGCCCCCTACTCGGGTCCCCACTCCCCTCTGCACACAGCCAGCGGGCAGGCAGGGCTGACCAAGCCCTGCTGCTGCTGTCGCATGCTCACTGTCCACACGAGGGCGCTGTGGGCAAAGGTTGGGGAGATGAGGACTTGAGAGGGCGTGAGGACCTTTGGGCCGGACCACCCCCAGTTTCTTGGTGCCACAGCTACTGCTCCAGCCTCTACTGACGCTGGCTCTCTCTCCTGGGCTGCAGTACCAATCCAAAATGAGAAACTGCAGCCAAATACATGGGCTGGACACACTCATGGCTCAAGGCCACTCCCAGTTCCAGCGGGTTCTGAGCACACACTGCTGGTGCCAGGCCTGCAGGAACCCTGGCCTGCTTCCTGCGGGAGTTCACCTGGCCCAGCTCACCAGCGACAGGCATTGGCACAATGCCTCTCGTTAACAAGGTGGACTTTGGTTATCAAATTACAACAAAATTCTGATTCTGAAAACTAATTCTGTTACATAATATTCACAGGAAACCAATGCAAACACTAAAAGTGGGTAACAAGCCCAGGTAAGAGGTGCCCCTGCTAGGCGATGACCAGAGCCCCATTCGCCAGCCTCATGCAGGACCCCTGGGCGCCCTGGCCCCCACTGTCCCAGGATCAGGGACAAGGCCAGTGTGCCCGCACTCCACCTCCCTCAAGTCACAGAGAACTCAGGCCCCTGCCTTCAGGAGAGCTCCTCCAAGGCCAGAACCCTACAGGAACCATCCAGAAGGCCCCAGGTTTTAGAACATGCCCTATGTGCTCCTGCGTCCTCCCCTCTGTCCCATTTCCCCTGCCTAAACATCCTTTCCCTTTCTGCCCAAATGACAAGATACCTCCCCAATCCCCACAACTCCAACTCTGATGCTCACTGACCCAGCTGCCCAGCTCCTTCCTGGAAACGCACCCCACCCCCACCCCAGAACCTTCCTCCTCCCCCAGGCCCAGTCAGCAATCACAGCTCAGAGGCTGTCACCCTCATGCAACAGGTACTAGGAAGGACAGGACAAAGGGACCTCAGCTGACTCTGGCCATTATTCCTTTGTGGTGAGGAACCTGCGGACACCACACAGCCCCAGCGCGGGGGGATCAAGGCCTGAGCAGAGGTCAGGAGTAGGACGCATCACCAACTGAGCCCCTCAGACATCCCGGATTGCAAGGACTCTTATCTGATAAATCTTCTTCTTCTCTGCTGGGTTTCCCCAGACACAGCAGAGATAGGTGTGTGAGAACAGACTCCCACAACACAAGCAGGCTTGCTTGGTAAAGGCAGGAAACAGTAACAAAAGCAGCTTTTCTTAACTTAATTCAGAACCAAATATATAAAACCCAAGCTTGTAATGTCAGGGTGGGAGGGGGACAGAAAATCTCTCTAGTAACACATTCACACGCTCAGAAGCAGGCTTCTCAAATGCAGCCATTTGGGAAACAAATGCCACCATACACAGCATGAAGCTGTGGTTAGATGGTCACATGACCCTGATGTGAGGGGCTTTTCCTGAAGATTCTCTGCACTGTGTTCTGCCAAACGATGCAGAAGTGCTGGATGCACCAGGCAAAGGCAGCCCTGTCAACCCTGCTTTGTTCCTGAACACATCCATCGCCCCTCTGACAGAGCATGGTTGGGCAGGTCCCGGCTGTGACCCCAGAGCTGCCCAGCAGGCCCGTCCCAGGAGAACGTGTGTCTGTGCACAGCCTTTCTGGCCTCAGAGCAGCTAGCTCCTCCCTGAACTCCACTCAGCTGTTGCCACAGTCTGGCCTCCACGGAGAGGGCTGTGCCTGGTACCCAGCTGCCCTGGCATCATGCTGCCATCTGAAGAGAAGGACGACAGCAAGATGCCAGGTGAGCTGGGCTCCCAGATGGACCTCAGAGGGTGAGTGTCAGATGGCGGCCCGGGGGCTTACAGCAAGGCTCTCACACACTAGGGAAGCCCACCAGGATGCTCAGTGTCCCATCCAGAGTTGTATCCTGCCCCACTGAAAATCACCCTCACTTCTAGCAAAAGCTGGGGGCGGGGGGGAGTTTGGTTTTTTTTGGAGTAGGCTTCATGCCCATCATGGGGCTTGAACTCACAACCCTGAGATCAAGAGTTGCCTGCCCTACTGAGCCACAAGGCACCCTGGAAATAATTCTTAAAGTACAAACACACATGTGTAACTCTGAAGGGAATAGGAGAGAGAGGACATGCTAGGGACCTCCTGGGACTCCAGGCTTGAGCAAAGTACTGCTCGCTTTGTGGGTGTGGGGGGGTCCCCCACTGCCCAGGTGTGTGGGAAGTCTCAATGTAGGCACACAGTAAAGCAGTAGAGGCCAAGCAGCCGCGACCTACTAGATGTCACACAAAACAAATGCCTGTTCTTCCTGGTTCAAGATTAAAGGTGGAAATGAAACTGAACGCGCACTTTAGACCATTGGTCACTGATTCTACCTTTGGTGGGAAAATAGCTCCTAAGTCATGCTTTTGTTTCAGGTGAGAAAGGTTTATGGTTTTGGGTGGTGGCTGTTTGGGCTGGCCTGTCCTGCCAGCAGGTGCTCTGGATTGGGGCTGCTGTGGCACCAGGGCAAACCCAAGGACAGATCCCTGTAACCACGCAAGTCATACCTGGCAATGACATTGCATCTTATGTTTACAAATATTGGAAAAGAAAAGAATGAACAGCCTGATGGGAAAAGGTGTTTCCAAGTCTAACTATGATGGTAAGAATTTAAGCTGAGAAAAACCCATGCATAACAGGGCAGCTGATGAAGTCTGTCCCTGGTGCTCACAGTGAGCCTTTCCCATGGTGTCTGCTGCCACCTGTCCAGGGTGCCCCCAAGCCCTGCAGGGCCCTCAACACACATTCAGGTGCCTGCCGGTCCTAGGTGCCCTGGGGTTGTGGCATGTGGGGTGAGGGGGGACCTGGTGGTGCCCACACAGGCAAGCAGGGGGCAGCAGGGGGTGAAAAGAGCGAAACAGAGTGTGGCCTCAACCCCAGAATGGCACAGACCATGGTGACTAGCTGGTAAGAAGGCTGCTAATGCACTTGCAGAAGACAGGGAAACATCCTTAGAATTTTAAAAAGAGGAGAAAGGCAAGTTCAGTAAGTATAGCCAGAAAGCCCCCCAAAGGCCCAGGAAGCCACCAGGAACGGAAGGGAGGGCAGACAGTGAGGGGTATGAGCAGGGGGGAAGCTCCACGGAAACAAGAGGGTCATCTCCCGGCGCCCCAAACGCATGGACGCTGCAAACAGTGGGTCTGAGAGGGTCTGAACCAGAGGAGTACCAACCTCTCTAACGACAACACTTAAAGATAGACAGTGATTGTAAGTTGTCAGGAAAAAATGTGTCCAGAGAAGAGAGTGTGAATGGAGGAGAATGATGATTTTCTAGCATGGAAGATTTTTTTTTTTTTTAATTCACCTGTCTTGAATTCTTTCCTAGGAAGCAGCTAGAGGATGTTCCCTGATAAAAACTGAGGAGATCAGGGAAATGGAAAGACAGACTGAGCAGAAGGAGCTCCCAGAATTACCGGGAAGCCGATCCCAGGGTCGGAGGTGCCCCAGGCTGGTCCAGGTAGAAGGAGACTGGGCATCCAAGGAGGGTCTTCCCAACAGGTCGGCATGACAGACGGAGCTGGGAGTGTGGGACACTGATGGGGGCAGAGGGTGGATGTGCCAGTCACAGGGACACGGAGCCTGAACCAAACACAGCAGACAGGCCCGAAGACCCCCCCAGGCGGGGGCAGCCGGAGCAGGAGCGAAGAAAGGTAGGCACTGCAGCTGGCACAGGCAGGCTAAGAAATCGCCAACGCTCACTGACCCAACAGTCCTGCCAGGGTGGGGACGGAAAACAAAACCCCTAATTTCCACCTAGGAAGTCGACACAAGACACGCCGAGAGGCCCAGAGAATCGCATAGTGGGCCATGCAGAGACGAGCAAACACTGGCAGAGCACGGAGGCAGGCAGGGACTGTCCTTGTGGTGCCACCGTGGTAGACATTTTGGTTCAGGTACCCTTTGGTTCTTTTATCCCTTTGATAAAAACCCAACTTTGTAAAAGCTTCAACACAATCAGTATTGGTGCCACCAGCTAGAACCACGCTCAACTGTTATGCGCAATCTGCTGGCCAGCATCTGACCTCCAAGTGAGCCACTGGAAGCATTTAGAGATGAGCCCCGTGCACCTGTCCTGGGAATGGTACAGTGGGGGAGCTTCATTTTTTGAAATGTCTGAGTTCTGTATACTGCATAGTCTTTCTGTAGTCTGAAAAAAATAGGAGAACAGGGAAAGAAGGTCCCCAGAGGGCAGCTTCTGAGACCTCTCTTTAGGGATGCTTAAGATAAACGCGATGCTGCAGAATCCTGTGAAGCTCAAAAGCGTAGTTCGTTTCTGAAATCCATCCTGCCCCGCACACAACAGTTGGCAAGTCATCAGCCCAGACATCACAAGGTGTGTGCATGCCGAGGAGCAGCCCGCCTGGTGCAGCCCTTGGGGGGCACACAGCCCCCGCGCCCGCTCAGCTCCTGTTCTCCAGGTTATTCCTGCTTCCTACCGCCCAGAGCGTGAGGCCTGGGAAGGGCCCTCCGTCACTGGGTCATGTGCCCACAGGCCGGGTGACACCCAGAAGGCTCGGCCAAGAACACTTAAAGCATGAACCTTCAAAGAGCCCATAGATGTGTCCATGAACCGGGACACGGCCACCTCCATAAAGACAAGAACTTTCTCTCGACATTCTAGAGCCAAAACACACCGTGGCATGGATTTCGGCAGAAGGGAAAATACAAAGAACATGGAGGGCCGGCCTTTCTGTGTGGATAAGCCAATTTTTATTTCCCTGGAGCTCTTGGGCTGGGAAAGGGCCCGTGGCGGGGGGGGGGGGGGGGGGCAGGGCGGGAGTCCACAGGTACAGGTGCCAGGAAGTGGCCCCCAGGTGAGCCACGGATGACGTGCTCCAAGACCACCAGGCGAGGGCCTTGGCTGGGACGACAGGAAGTGTCTGGAGGCCGAGCTGGGAGCAGTGACGCAGGAAACATCACCCCAAGGAAAGATACGTCACTCCATGGAAGGACCCACCACCCTATGCAAGGGCCCGTCTGCGGAGGGACACAAGCACTTCTCCTGGGACGGGACAGATGACAGGGAAGGGCGGGCAACCAAACTCCAACCACCAATGAGGTGGAACTGCACCTGAAGATGATGGTTAGGGGTGGTTTCATTTTGAAGGCAGTGGCCTAGACTTTGCCAGACTTCCCAGCACAAATTACTCTGGTTTTTGATCTCTACCCTGAAAAAAAAAAAAATCAAGGAAAAGCTTCTTAAAGAAGCAGCTTGTAAAGTCTGGCTCTTAGTGACGACCAGCGCCTCTTTCCTCCCGCTTCATTTCAGCTCTGGCTTTAAAACTCTTAGCTCTGAGGACTCTTTATAGGTTGGTCTCTTGTTTTGTAAAACCCAGAAAACGGTTAATCAATTTCTTCTTCCTAAAAACACCGCTTCTTTGCAAAACGAAAAAAAAAAAGTCAGCAAAATGCTGCTGAAGACAGCAGAATTTATTTCAAAGAGCATTCATTCATTTTCTGGGTGGAGTACATCAGTGAAAAAAAAAAAAAACACAAACAAACGCCCAAAAACAAAACAAACCCAACCACAGGCGGCCACACCCCCTGGCCCACAGCGCTGGGGAAGCAAAAAAAAAAAAAAAAGGTCAAACAGAAAGGAAGGCGGGCAGGGTCGGAGGGTGGGGAGGGGGCTGTTGGTTGGAGAGAATGTTCCTACAGGGACTCCAGTGGCTCAGAAAACCCTGGAGGGGACAGAGACCTGGGGCAGGGCGCTGGGGAAACTGGGGCCTGGGAGAAAAGCAACCCACAACGGGGCCCCCAGACAACGCGGGGAGCTGGCCAATAGCAGGAGCGGAACGAGGGAGGACCAAACTAGGAGAAGAGGTGTCCTCCCCTCCCACTGTGTCGTCAGAAGGGACGGGCAGCGACAGCCGCGGGGGTGCCAGCCCCCTCCACCCCACCCCTTGCAGAGATGGACCCTCCTCCCCTCCTCAGTCCTGGGAGGGGTGGGAGGGAGCGTCCCGGGGATTAGAGCAGGGGTGGTGAGAGCAGGGGTGGTGGCTGTTAGTAAACCCGAGGCTCCGCCCCGCCACAGCCCAGGAGAGGAGCAGGATCTTGGCAAGCGAAACCACTGCGGCCTCCGAGGTTTCTAAACACTCGATTGGATTCCACAGTGCCAAGATAAACGGATGTAAACAGAAATCCTCTGTGATATTTAAAGGCCAAAAAAGGGAGAGAGGGCTGGCCCCACCATAACTATCTTCTCCCCAAATCTTTTGCCAGATGAACAGGAGAAGGGGAGCCCAGGACACAGCGTCCACCCCCCTCTCCCCCCGCCGACCCCGGCCCCAGGGCTGGCCCCTCACAGGCCACACCTGCTTCAAGTCCCAATTCCGCTTCAACAGCTCCCTTAACTGCTTCCGGCTACAGCCTCCCTTCCAACACAAAAACTACAGGAGCGCCCGAAGCCTGGTTTGAATATCTTAACTGGGTGGCTACTGTGTTGATTTGGAATATTACTGGAAAATATATTTATTTTCTGAAGCCCTCCAGGTATACACCAACATATTTTTCTCTCTTAGAATGCATCTATTTGGCTGTACTATACACTGATAATTAACAATCCCATGCTGACCGACTGCTCGGGTTTTGCTGGGTGCCAAAGGTCCTCCACGACCAGCCCCTCACTGCCCAGGACCAGTCCCCAGCTGCCAGCGGCACAGGCGTGAAACATTGCTGGTCCCTGTGTCCGCTGCTGCTTTACAGTACTGCTGGGTAAAGGGGTCAGCACAGACAAGTTTCGGTATCAGCTTCACGGAGATGTCATTCCCCCATTAAAGAACTGAGGGGTTTTCGGTATACTCAGAGTTGTGCAACCATCACCACGGTTTGATTCCAAAGCGTTTGCATCATTGCCCCAGAAACAAATGCCATACCAGCTGGCTGGCACTTCCTCTGACCCCCAGCCCTGGCAACCACTCGCCAGTCTTTCTCTAGATCCGCCTGTTCCAGCATTTCCTATCAATGGATCATAACGGTGTGCGGTCTTTTGCATCTGGCTGCCTTCACTCTGCATTATGTTTCCATGGGTCATCTGAGTTATGCCAGGTGTCAGCACTTCATTCCTTTTTTATGGCCAAACAACATTCCATTGTAAATATTCCACATTTGACTTAGCCGCTCATTAGATGACAGACATTTGAGTTGCTTCTGCTTCGGGGCTATTATGAATAATGCTGCCCTGAGCCCTTGTGTGCAAGCTCTTGCCTGAACCTCCTGCTGCTCAGGTGAGTGGCTGGCTCACAGGGTGGCCCTTCAGCACTGCGAGGAAGAGCTGGACTGTTTTTCCATGTGGCTACACCATCTCACTATATACGACTTCTTACTCACAGATGAATTACACACAGGTAAGCAAGTGTAGGAACATTTTCATGGCGTGACCATAAAACTCAGGTTCTAGAATAAGTTCAAGTTAGCCGCCTGAAACAACAATGGGATCACATGATCAGTTTGGGGTTTTAAAGCAGAGCCATTCTAGAAACCTGAAATAAGCGCAAGTAGTAGTTGAGACACTGCAGGCCCAGTGCTAAGTACAGGACCTAACGCACTCCTGGGTTTTGGTAAGCAGCTGCTTGTCCCCGTCTGCCAGAGTCGGGACCTCTGAGTTTCCCTTTACAACAAGGTAAACAAGGCCCAACGAGGCAGCAGGGGCCTGCCTCAGTTGCCTCTGGTTCTCTATTAACTAGACACTTGGCTAGAGCCAGAATTTGGGTCCTAGTCTTGAGTTCCAGGCCACGTCCCGTTCAGCACTGTCCATACCATTCTCTCTGTAAGAGCAAGTCACACCTACTCACTGGCTCTGCAGGACACCGATTCCAAGCCAGCTCAATGTATACTGTTCCCAATATGTCAGCAACATGTCCCGGCAGGAAAATAAGAGGCATGGGTGAGGCATGATTATTATAGAAAGACTGGGGGACATGTGATTCTAGAACCTAAGGACCTCTGGAGCAGGGCCACTCAGTGAGGGAAGGCACAGCATCCGACAAGACGGCTGCAGAGATAGCAAAGCTCCCGCCACTGGAGCAGCCATTTTCAAAGTGTGGCTCAGAGGCCCCTGTAGGAAGTGATGTGACCTGCCTTTTCCAGGTCTGACATCTACACGGATGACACACTGGCCACGGGGGAAGCTGCTGGTGCTGTGGTGGGAGCACCAAAATGCACAGTGGTTACTGCACCCCAGGGGTCATACACGCAGTAAAAGGAAAGCAAGTTTCACTGACAATGTCCTTAACAAAATTGTAAATTAGTTTAACATGTATAAATCTTGACCCTGAGACAGGTAACAGAATGGGTAGAAGGCAGGACTTGCGTGGCACTGAGTCAAGAGCCTGGCTAGTCTCCATCTATGTAGATCTCCCTGAAACCTTCCCCTACAGGTTCTTTGTACATCATGCCAGTGATGAGAACATTTGAGGATGTTCCCTCCTTCAAAATCCAGAGCGATTCCTAAAACTTCACCAATAAAGTTTAGAAAAACAAAGTTCAAATCCTGATATGCAGATATGACTCGAAAATATTTTCAAAGTCTTTAAAAAAAAAATCATGCCTGTGTTTTTTTTTTTTTTTTTTTTAAAGAAAGCCCCTACTACACAGAACTGCAAACTGAAAAGTGATTAAGGAGGCAGGGACTTCTCACTCTGTGAGAGAATTCTCCAGAGATTTTCTTTAAGTCGTCAAGTCCCTTGATGCACTTAAAATAGTTCCAAAATTTCCATCCCTGTGCAATTTTCCAGAAACACACAGAATGCTGTATAAGACCTAGAACTTCTGTGTCATCTTCCTCTTCCTCAGACAGACTGCTAGAGCTCAGGGACCCTGACTCTGTGGAGGGGACTGTGTGGCCCAGGCTCACGGTGGCCTGCGCACAGGCCAGAGGAGGTCACTCACCTGATGGTGCCAGTTGGGGACGGGATGGGGCTGACCAAGCTGCGGAGATCCGGCTCCGGAATGTGAATCTTCAGAGGGGAGATCTGCGGGTAGAGGGGCCGGAGGGGAGACGCTGGGGCTTCCTCCTGACGGTATAGTGATGTGAACTGGATCTTTATGGCCGTGCTGGGGAACCGAAAAGTGCACCTGCAACAAGAGAGAGGACACAGGTCAGTGCAGAACAGGTGGGGAGAAGGCAGAGGTGGGAGTCGGCAGAGGAATGTTCTAGGTCACCACGTAACTGCCTTCTGTAACAGAACCCCTACCGTCATTTTGTAGTTCAGGGAGTGAACCAAAAATCCTATGTGTGCTGCTTTCATCAGGACACTTGCTAACAACTGATACGGGTCTTCCTTTTCCCGCACATGTGAAGAGAGAGTTATGAACCCAGGTGAGTCCCCAGCAGAGGCTCTGACACACAGAGTCACCTCCCATCTACCAGCATGGCCGCTGGGTACCCAAGCTTGTTGAGAGACTGAAATTTCATGATTACCGTTCATGCAGCAAGTGGAAAAGACAGACACCCTATGACAAGCAGCATCCTCAGCATCTCAGTTTCTCTACTGGCAGGTGACTGCATGCAAACCAACCCAGCCTCACATATCCAAGTCACACCTTGTCTGTGCCACAGGAACCCTGGGTCGCCTGCCTCCAAGGAACATCTCCTGTAAAATCTGGGCGTTACTTATCCAGCACACTTACCTTCTAGATGGACAAGTCCTTAACAATTTGCTAAGTGCAGGACTTAGTTACAAACAAAAACACAAAACCAAATGAGAACAGGCTGCCTGTGCAGAGACAATCAACAGTCTTGCCTGCAGCAATTGCTTAGATAAGGCTCTTTGTAAAATATGGGGGGTGTCGTGGGGCGGGGCCTGGAGAGGATGGATGTAAACTCCCACCTTTGGTGCTCTCCCAGTAGTTCTGGAAAGGTGCTCAGGTTATGCCAAGTGATTCACAGCTCGAGAAGTGTGAAAGTCCTCCCCAGCGTGACCACATGAAGCCTCCGCCAGCAGGCTGCTGGTTCACTCCTGCTCATGTTATTTGTTTACATAGCGAGTACACCTCCAAACTCCCAGGGACGCAGTAAACACCCTCTTCATCTGAATTCCCTTTTTTCTCTTAGTAAAATAGTTTTTAAAAAACTAGATTTAAGAGTAGGTCAAAACAGGTTCTGGGCACCCAAGAGGCAGTGAGTGTCTGTGAGCCCACAGGAGTACTCTTGAGCTTTCCATGCTCATGAAATGACTCAGCAGCATATGCAAGCGTCTGCTCTAACAGTCAGGCTGCCTGCAACTCCCAGAGAAAGTCCGTAACTCAAACCGGCTGGACTGGCCAGTACGGATTCTTCCAGAGACACCCGAGCAAGAGCATGAGGACTGGGGGTCTTAGCCAAGGTGGGGAGCAAAGTACCAGGCCACTGTTGAACCCACAGGTACCAGCTTCATAGTTCCAAACCTAAAATGAGAACGAAGGCGTTCTGACACCATTTCCTGATGCTGCGCTAGTTCTGGGAGATGCAGTCTAAGCACCAGTGTTAGGGTGGGGGTTGGGGTGTCTGTCGTGTCATGTCAACATCACCCCCAAGGTCCTGCGTAAGGCCCCTCGTGGCCACTTAAACATATTCTGCAATTTTCCTCTTGTAAGCCATAGTTAAACGTTTGATGTTGCTCCCACTTTCCTTAGTTTTCCCTGCAACCCAGCAGAAATTTCCTTCATCAGTATTTTGGCTAAAAGTTACATCACACATTTTCCTCTGACGTTCTCTGGGGCCTCCAGTCTCCCCAGACCTGGAGGCCTGTCAGCTCTTGTAGGACTCAGAGTCGAGCCAGCATCTGTCCCAGCTCATGGCCAAGGACGGGCTGCCGTCTCCAAACCAGAAAAGGAAGGAAAGAGTTTGGAACCTGGGAGATGCCTGAGGGCCACACACACACACACACACACACACACACACACGCGCACACACGTGCACACATGCACCTGCATGCAGCCCCGTTCTACAGTGTTCAATACGGAAGCAGTAATGATGAGTATTTAAAGGCAGTGTGTCTATCTTTTACCATTGGTCTCTTCCTTCAGCAGCTGCAAATCAACACAAGCTACACTCTACTACCTGCCAAAAGGGCACACAGCTGGAGTTCTGACATCCCACACCGTGAAAGTCCCCATGCTAACACAAGATCATAGCATTCTACAATTATCAAGGCAACCAGAAAGAGGATGTGGCTTCTGGCTTATGGCAGAGGTCACAAGGCAGAACGGAATGTCAGAAAACAGGGTTTCAGGTGAAGACAAGAGCTGGCATAGAATCCTTGGAATGGGGATGGGGAGGCCAGGCTCCAGGCCAGCTGGGGCTGTACCACCCCACACCACAGTGTGATTCTCAGGAGGTGAGTGAGGTGCCCGGGGTGGGGCTTGGGGGGGCGCACTGCTGAGTCCCCTGTGAGGGCGAGGTGTAGGGTGGGGACTGACATGGAGGGAAACAGCATACAGGAAGAAGAGTGGCTTAGAACCTCTAGTGAGTTTACTGCCTTGGCCTCTGTAGTTGTGTGTTCTTCGCTAATAAAACAGGAGACTCTGAACAGACACTTTCCAGTTCAAAAACAAAGATTCCAGATAATATGTGCACACAGGTGGAGTTTTTAGTAAAATCAAACACAACATTTTGTAGGTCAGGGATTTGGGTTAGCAAATTAGTAACAAAATCAAACACCATCTATAACTGATTCAAACGGGCCAATTTCCTACCGTAAGAGTCATTTCCAATTACGGTTTAACAATAAACATTTTCATATTATTTATTGCAGCAGCTATTTCAAAAGCAGCTCCTGACTCACTCTTCCAGAAATTATCCTGAGGCAAACTGTCTCCTACCTAAGAGGAAAAACACTAGGAAGCTACTTAATTTTAAACAGGCATCTCCCCAGGGTGCTCCCAGATTCACCAATTACTTCTCTCCCTATAATATTTTCATTCCGGTTTAGCGCCCTGGTTGTGGAGTTGTAATGAGCATGTTTTGCAATTAAAGCTATTCTCTTGGAGGTGCTTCACATTCGACCTGACCCCAACCACACACTGCGCGCCTGCCTTCAGCGCGAGGTATCCCAGCCTCAGGTGGGCGTGTGCACTCTAGCACTCACTGCCCCAGCCTGGAGCACAGCTCTGGCAAGCAAGCACCTACACTGGGAGGGACAGCTACTTCAGATCTCTCTCCAGGATCCCTGCCCTACTGTCCAGAGACAGAGGAGTTGCGGGGCGGCCCAGGGCTGGAGGCAATGGTGGGCTGGCTGTCAGGGGTGAGACATATATTCTAAAATCAACTGCGGTGGTAGCTGTGCAACTGTGAACAGACTCAAAACCACTGACCTGGACAATTTGAGTGGGTTAGCTGCCTGCTATGTGAATTACATCTCATTCAAGCTCCTCTGAAATGTTCTTGCTCTAGAGTTCCCATACTTAGGGTCTCCCCCAGGCTTGCACAGTCCCTGGGGCCACATGCACAGTCCCTGAGCCCACATGGGAGCCAAAGGCTCCTGGAAGTTGAGGCAAATCAACATCCTGTGGTTGCACATGAAGCCACTGTCTTCAACAGGTCAAAGATCACAGCATGGAAGGCTGCTTCTGGTCCTGCTCAGGCATGAAGGAGCCTAAATGATTTGGGGGTGACTGGGGTGCTCACTTTCACTTCCATCTGGTCCTTAGGGAGGAATCCCATCACCTGCCCCACCAGCCAGGAAATTGTTGGAGATAAAAAGAGCTTGTTTAATCCTTATTGATATCAATATAAATACAGTGATCTTCATTCTAGACATAAGAAATAGGCAGAGAGGGGCACCTGGTGGCTTGGTCAGGTAAGCATCTGCTTTTGGCTCAGGTCAAGATTTCAGGGTCTTGGGATTGAGCTCCACATAGGACTCCCTGTTCAGCAGGGAGTCTGTTTCTCTCTCTCTCCCTCTGCCCCTCCCCCTGCTCATGCTCTCTTGCTCTCTCTCTCTCTAATAAGTAAATAAAATCTTAAAGAGAGAGAGAGAGAAATAGGCAGAGAGAGAAGAACTCTTTGGGGACTGGATGCATGGGGAAGTGAGCATCAGTGTACGCAAGGATGCTGATGTGGCTTTTAGTGGCTCCAATCAATGGGCTGTGGGAGAAGGAATGCCACATTTTTCTCAAGCAGCTGCCATGTGGCTGGAGATCAGGCACCAGCCCGGCAAACCTATGGCTTCAGGAGGCCTTAAAGAAGCCACCACTCAAGTGAGACAGGCAGAGATGAGGCCAGGGAGCTGGTGGGCAAAGATCCTTCCAGAATGCAGACACAGGGCCTGGCCCTGTGGGAACTGGCATGAACAATGTCTATGACCAGTGAGTGTGCTTCTTGCTCTTCTCTTTTCCAACTGAAGAGTTGGGGCCACCTCCCCCTTCCTTGTGCTCAGCTCAGCATTTCACAGAGGACCACCTGGAATGCTATGATGGAGGGATGCACTAGTCACCACAGATCCTGTACTTTACAGGGTGTCTTCATAAGCGGGACTTGAGGCTGCCTCCTTTGATAAGGAGGAGTGTTTTTATTTTGGAAGACGACAGACAAATACATGGGTGGTTAAAAGGCAGACTATGACAGAGGCAGCTAGTTCCCTGTATACACATCCTACAATGAATAGTTTCAGCTGGGCACACAGTCGCCCAAATGAAGACAATGCTTCGCTGCCTCTCCTGCAACCATGAGACCGTGGTGGTTAATGGGATGCAAATAGGCATGCCATGAAGAAGAACAGAACGTCTTCTTCACTTTTTCCTTTTCAATGGCCAGAATGAGGATGTGATGGCAGGAGCCGCAGCAGCCAGAGGAGGCCATCAGATGGACATTGGGTAACACAACAATGTAATAGAAAAGGCCTAGGAGCTGCTGTAGCAGCTTATGTTAAGACTGTATCAACTTCACCCTTGTTATTTTGACCTTGGTTACAAAAACCAAAACTATATCCTAACTGTAAACAGCTAAAGAGCTCCCTATGGGGAATCACTGAACAAACTATGGTGTGTACTCAGAGACAAACATTATGTGGCCATTTACTGGGACACTTTCATCACTGCACATCTTTGGGCAAGTCTCTTAATGCACCGGCCTGCTTTCCTCATCAAGGAGCACG